CGCGGGGCCCGGTCTGGTCGCCCAGCTCCCCACTCCTGGGGCCGCGGACTGGAGGAACCCGCGACGGCTTCGCGAAGGGCACCCTTATGTCTGGGGTCACACTCGGACCGGGGTTTGGGAAGCCCGATGGACTCATGCAGAACGAGAATAAACAGGCTGGAAAGGAGCAGAGGTGGAGGATGTGGTGCAGGAGGCTGGGAGGAGGAACGCTGATTCTGGGGTCTGTCTGTCTTGGGAGCAGCGCCAGGAAGGGCTGCGTTGAGGTCAGCTTTCTGCAGCCTTTAAAACAACCATCGCGCCTTTCTTCTGCACCACCGTGTAGGGAATTCAGTGATGGCTTTTAAGATAAATAAATAAAGAGGAGGTTCATGACCCTGTGCGCTCGCCCTCTAGGGGCAGAAGTGTCCCGAATGAGAGCGGTTTGGCGGCACCGGGGCCCGGAGCCATCCCCACGGGTTTGCTGCCAGGATTACAATGGTCTGAACAGCGCGAACCATTCTTGTTTGTTCCGTCAGTCAAGTTCCTGTCCATAAAACTGCCCATTATCTAAATAAGAAAGGAGAAAATCCCTGAGCCCTGGCCGATGGCTCAGTTGGTTAAAACATTGTCCCATACACTGAAAGTTTGTGGGATCAATTCCAGGTCAGAGCACACACCTAGGTTGCAGGTTTGGTCCCTGGTCAAGGCTCATATGGAAGGCAACCAGTCCATGTTTCTTACATTGATGTTGCTCTCTCTCCATCTCCCTTCCTCTCTCTGAAATCAATAAAAAAAAAGCATATTTAAGAAAAAAAAATAAATAAATAAATAAGAAAGGAGAATTCACCCTCTCCCCCGCCCCCGCCCCCGCCCGAGGCTGGGCAAATTCAAAAGCAGAGTCAGCTCGGAGGCCTTCCCTCCTGAATGGAAGCAGGTGGGAACTTTCCAACCTGAGCTGCAGATGAGGATTATTTGGAGAGTTTTAAATACTGGCCCTGGCGAGCCCCAGACCAACCAAACCGGCCTCTCTGGGGCTGGCCGTGGGTATGTCTGAAAGCTTCCTGGGTCCTGCTATTACTCAGTGAGCTGGACCAAACCGCGGGGTCCCTGGTCTGCTGTACCTGAGAGATCTACCTACCAGACATGCTGGTGCTTTTCTTCGCCCAACACCGTGCGAGGAGAGGCAGCCACAGGTGTGATTCCCGCTTCCTGAAGTCTACAGTAGAGGAAGAGACAGACACTGCTCTGAGAGTTATGTGATAAATGTGAAATTGCAGCTTCGTTTATGACGTGGAAAGAGGGAGCGCCTGGAAGACTTTAGGCCTGGCAGGTGCTAACCAAAACAGTGAAGTTCGTTCCCTGAGCCCGTTTCTGGTCTTTGTGCTTCGCATGTGTTGGCTCATTTCTTCTTCACAGTAGTCCCAGGAGGTAGGTAGTGTTCTCCTGTCCCTTCCACAGAGACGGAGACGGCACAGGATGTAAGTTCCCCGTAAACCAAGTAGGTAAGGAGGGGCAGAGGTGATGCTCAGTGTCCCTTCCTGCTCAAAGCCACCACCTTTAGAGGAAAGATAAAACCTCAGCCCCCTACTCTCCCCTGGCCTCTCTGCCACTCTCCCCCTTTCCCCTCATGAGGGGGTGGGACCTGGGTGGGTGGGGAGGACAAGTTAAAAAGGCAAATGCAGTATGCCTAGGGACACTTGAATTAGGGTGATGGTCAGCCACGAAGAGAACAGTGAACAGATTTAAAAAAACATTCAGGAAGAAAATAAAAATAACTGATTAATATGAAGGAGGGTGGTGTACTTTAAAAAAATTTTTTTTATTGATTTTTAGAGAGAGAGGAAGGGAGAGGGATAGAGAGAGAGAGACATCTATGAGAGATCAGCTGCCTCCTGCCTGCCCCCTACTGGACATCAAATCGCAACCCTGCTGGGAATTGAACCAGGGTGACCTCTTGTTTCATAGGTCAACGCTCAACCAATGAACCACACCAGCCGGGCCCCAAGGTTATACTTTTACAACCAGATGAATATTTACCTCTTAAATCCTTATTTTCCCAGTACTTCACATTTTTCATTTTAAGCCCCCCCCCCTTTTTAAAGTTCTTTAAGAAGAAGACTATTCACAAAGCATTTATAGTGTATATTAAAGAGAAAATCTTCTTTCCACTTGGCATATTTTTCTGGCTAAATGAATTTGACTCTTAGATTCTAAGAGAGTCCTTTGTGCAGGTTTGTGTCATCAGCACAATGTTTGTTAGAATTACCCAGAGTGAGGATGGCTTATCTTTCTGCCTCTTGATCTGGAGAAAACAGAGATGAGGGAGGTTACGTAGGCAGCTGCTGATGCAATACCTCCTGTACCTTCCTGGAGACCAACGGGATGCTGTGGGCACCATTTGCACGTGTAGTTCAATAAAGACAGCAGCCAATCCCAGAAACTGCTCCATAAGTGAACTTCTGCAAATAGATCACTTAACTTTGTAAAAGAAAAGATCACTTTTGGTAAAACAAGGACACATTCTGGGAAGGTGGTAGAACAAAAACATTCAGAAGTGGGATTATGAGCAACACGATGCTGTGAGGCGGGGCCGGAGAACAGTGTGGAATGGGGGCCCACAGGATGTGAGCATTCCCAGTTGCTTTCCTGGTACTAGAGATTGTTTCTTTAATATAATGATGTATTGGAGAGGAAATTTGGTTAGGAATGTAGCATTTTCTGGAAACATATGGTAGTGCTTTAAAATGAAAAGTTCCTGATCTTTTAAAACTATCTTCCAATATTTCATTTTTCTAGGAAATAACGTTGCTTTTTGTCCTTCCCAGTGTCTTTAATGTTAAAAGAAAAATATTCTTTCCACTTAACCCTGGTATATATTCAGATTAATAGCTGTGTTAGTTTCTTATGACTGCTGTAACAATTTACTACACAGTTGGTGGCTTACCACAACAGAAATTTATTCTCTCACAGTTCTGGAGCTGGAATTCCGATCACTCTCACTGGACCCAAATCAGGGTATCAGCAGGCGTCCCTTCCCTGGATGCTCTAAGAAAGACTTTGTTTCTTGCAGCTTCTGGTGGCTGTCGGCTGCTTTCATTGGCTGCGTCACTCCAGTATCTGCCTCCGTGTCCCATTGCCTCCTCTGCTGTCTGTTTCAGATTTCCCTCGGCCTCCAGTTTCTAAGGACACTTGTGATTTCATTTAGAGCCCACCTGGATAAGGGCAGAACAATTAAGTGAGGCCCTGCCGGTGTGCTCAGTGGTTGGGCATCGACCTATGAACTAAAAGGTCATGGTTCCATTCTCGGTTGGGGCACATTCTCAGTTGTGGGCTCGATCCCCAGTGTGGGGCGTGTAGGAGGCAGCCGATCAATGTTTCCCTCTCATCATTGATATTTCTATCCCTCTCTCCCTCTCTCTTCTTCTCTCTGAAATCAATAAAAAATATATATATTAAAACTTTTTTTTTTAATCATGCTACGTAGCCTGGCCAGTGTGGCTCAGTGGTTGAGTGTTGACCTATGAACCAGAAGGTCAAGATTCCATTCCAGGTCAGGGCACATGCTCAGGTTATGTCTCAATCCCCAGAAGGGGGCATGCAGGAGGCAGCCAATCAATGATTCTGTCTCATCATTGATGTTTCTATTTCTCTCTCCCTCTCCCTTCCTCTCTGAAATCAGTAAAAAAAAAAGTATATATTTTTAAAAATCATATTACTTAATAAATACAACAAAGTCATGAGGATGGTCATGGTATTCTCATCTTAGATGAGGAAACTGAATGATAGTAGTTACAGAACTTTCTCCAACGTGTACAGCCTGCACATGTTCGACCCCAGATTGGGAATCAGTGAGCAGCTCTTATTTCTGGTATCTTGCAGCTGGGATGCAGTGTATTGCAGTGCAGCCTTGCTGACGGAATGCAAAGCCATGGAGAAAGGGCTGTGCTCTGAGGGGCAGGAGTTTGAAGATCCTGGTGTTAGTTGCTTAGCAGCATGCTTAAGACTTCTGAGTATCCCGCAAAGCTTCTAAGTGACAAATTTAGATTTCTGCTCTTGCTGTTTTAGATGTTCTTAAAAAATAAGACACAAATAAAAACTTTTAATATGTATGTGTCTATGTCCCTTTACTCTGCTTTATTTTTCTTCATAGGACTTTGTCAGTTTATATTATGAATAATTATTTGTTTTCTTTTTCTCCCAAGGAGCATTTAAGCTCCTTGAGGGCAGGGACTTTGACTGTTTTCATTATTGCCATATCCCCAGGTCTAGAAGTGACTGGTTCATGGAAAGCATCTGTCCATGCTTGTGGGGAAAATGATGAATGGCAGAATAAATAGTATTGAGTAGATATATCATATCATATCTACTCAATGGAGATATATCATATCTACTCAATGGAGTAGGAGTATGTCCGCGTAAAGATAGAAATAAGTTGCTCTTATTAAGAAAAAGAGTGAGGGGGATATGGAGAGGGTAAGGGGGAAATATGGGAAGTGAGAGAAAAGCCACAAAGACAGTCCTGGAGAGAGAAGAAATAGAATGGAAGAGAGAATGAGATGCTGGGAGGCGGAGGAGAGAAACTTAGGACAAGAGACGCTTCTAATGATGTGTTCCCAAGAAATACTATAAAGCACTCCTCAGTGTCCCCTGTAGCATCTGTAATAAATTCTGCAATGCACGTTCAAAATGCTTGTGCAAATAGACTTTTGATGTGGGACAGCTCAAGAGAAAAGTGGTGACTGGATAGCTGATGTATATTTTACAAAGAACTGGGTGTTCAGCTTCTCCCCATCTCCATTAAGCAAATATTGAGCGAATGCTTAGACTGTCAGTGTGAGATGTACAAATAACCACGTGCTTTGAGTGCCCGTTTTTCTCTCCATCCTGGTGCGGAGGTTCCGAAGGGGCGGAAGAGGGATGAGAAGGAGAGAGCTGCAGCCACTGCCACAGGGAATGGTTCGCCTGGGCAGCTGGTTTGCAGGCAGTTGAAAACCTTGGGTCAGCAACGCCTGTTCAATTATTATTTTTTTAAATATATTTTTACTGATTTTAGAGAGGAAGGGAGAAGGAGAGAGAGATAGAAACATCAATGATGAGAGAGAATCATTAATTGGCTGCCTCCTGCACGCCCCTCACTGGGGATCAAGTCCACAACCCAGGCATGTGCCCTGAACAGGAATCAAACCATGACCTCCTGGTTCATTGGTCGACACTCAACCACTAGGCCACCCCAGCTGGGCTTGTTCAAATTATTTTAACTGGACAGATGAAAGTCTCATTTGAAGAAATAGAAGTTACAGTCATTTGGTGGCATTTTCTTCTGTAATACACGTGTGGCTTGCTCTGATTGGCTACTTTATTGCCATTTACGAGAAACTGTGTCCATATTCTTGTGTTGCATAAAAACGTTATTCGATATGCTGCAAGTAGTTATTGAACTAGACCTGAAAACACTTATTTCCTTCCCTGAATGTGCTACCTCCCCCACGTTCTCACTGATGGCCTGCTAGGGTTTGAAATATTGATGAGGATGGATCCATTCACCTCTGTATTTCCCTGACCTTTTAATGAAGAGGATTTTTAGCTTTGTTGAGAATTTAGGGCAGAGGAAATCTTTTGCAGAAATAGCAGATTATGTGGCTATTCTTTCAGTTTCGTGGAACTCAACTTGGATTCTGAAACATGATATTTGAGTCATCACTAGCCTTACACTAATAAATTAGCATAAGCTTATTTTTAAGTAAACTTCCGAGGTTACTGTGTCATTTATAAAGCAGATTCTTCCTGTAAAAGCTATGTAAATAGACGGTATAATAATTTCTTTAATCAGTTTTTCGTTTAGGTCCTAAGTAAATACTATCATTGTGCTATGAAACTATCTCTGACATCCTAGCCGACCTGGTAAAGGCTGCTACTCATACATGAGTGTTTTGAGCGATGACATATATTCATCAACACGTTGGGGAAGTGCTCTCTTGACCAGACTTGATGGCTGGCCCACCATTGGACATGTTCTCTCACTCCCCCTTTTCCAAACCCACTTTCTGCTTTCCCACGTTTGCTCAGGCGTCCACCTCAAATGCTGTTTCCCCTTCGTTCAGCTTGTCAGATCCCACTAATGAGCTCCTGGTTTTCCCACGGGAAGTAATCCTCCTCTCCGCTCAACTCCCACAGCACTCTGGGTCTGCCTTATGTCCTTAAGAAGTAGTCTTGTGATTTAGAGTTGGGAGGGACTTAATAAACGATCTCATACCATCTCATTGTGCAGATGAAAGCACTGCGTTCTCCAGGGGATTTGCCTGGGCTGGTTTCTTCTGTGTGGGCACTAGAACAGGAACTTGGTTTTCTGCCTTGCAGCCCTGTGCTCCCACCTTACACTTTCAGCTGGCATATCTTATTCTCCTTATAAAATTACCAAAGGTAA